CAAAAGGTGTATGTTCTTTAAGAGGAGCCAAGCAGCTTCTGCAACCTCAGGGATGCAGAGGACTTTTGGTCCCCAAAACCAGGCAAGACTACAGCAGGTCTCCCAAGGAGAGGCAATGGAGCTGAGTAACAAGGATACCTTAAAGCATTATAGAGAAGAGGGTTGGAAGGACATTCAGAGGTCACCGCCTCCATCCAGGATCATGCATAGGACAAACCCAAGCAAACACAAGTGTATTAAGAAACACATTTTTGATTGTGTAGGTTCTAATGGTTGGGTCTTGGAAGAAGAGCTAGAGATGGTTATTTAGATAAGAAAGACCATATGGCTGGCATTGTTGAAATATGGTAGGCTGGACCATTTAAAACACTGCTTATACTTTGTTTAATAAAGACAGAATGGGAAGGAGGAGGGGTGGCTGCCTGCCTGCTATGAGTTCCTAAGCAATTCAGAATTGCACCACCTTGAACCCTTAAGGACAAATAGTCTAACTACAGTTAAAGGGGCCACACTGGACAGCCTCTTTTATGGATTACCAACTCTTACTAGAGAATGGTCCATCTGCTTTTGAAGCATCTATATATAATGGGTGTGCCTACAAAAGATACTACAGTGACATAGCATTGAAAGGCACTAACCGTGACATTACTACTACTGTACAGTAGCAATGAGCTATTGCATGGTAGCTCATTGCTACTCTGCAGTAGGGTTGGAAATGACCCAGGCACTGCTGGGGCTGCATATTACTGGCGGATACTGTGAAGTCATTTAGTACTTGCTTTAGTATTAAATGACATAGTACTTGTAAGTACTAAATGATTGCACAGTAGGGCTGTGCAAAATGGCACTGCTCCATTTTGATTTCAGTTTTGAGGTTTGGATGGAACAGGGTTTTGTTTTGAATTTCATTTTGAGTTGAAGCAGTTGTTCTGTTTTGCTTCATCAAAACAGTGAGGCTCTTTTGATGCTGTTTTGATGTTTCACCCTACCATAGGGCTGGGGAAATTAACTCAGCCCAGCTGGGCTGAGTTCCCAACCCCAACCCAGGATCAGGTTGCGGAAACAAACTCAGCCCAGCTGGGCTGACTTCCTTTTCCTAGCCCGATCGTAGTTCTGGGGAGGAGAACTGAGCGATTGGGTTCAGTTCCCTTCCCCAACCCAATCATGGTGCTTGGGAGGGGAACTGAGCTTGGGTTCAGTTCCCTTCCCCTGAACTGTGATCGGCTTCCTGCAGCCCGGCAGCAGGATACGGAGAGAGCCAGGGCTGTGCTCCCGGCTGCTGCTGGCAGCACAGCCCTGGATCTCCCCTGTCTCCCACCACCTCTCTGCTGGCTGCTTTGAAACTCAAAATGTTTCAAAAGTTTAAAAACATTTCGCCCAGCCTCTTTTTGTTTCAAGCTGTTTCAAAGCCCTTTGTTTCAATTCAATTTTGCTGTTTTGAGCTCAAAATATGTCAAAACAGTGTTGAATCAAAACAGCCAGCAAAAATTCTCACAGTGTAGATGCGCCCAATGTATAGAAGAAAAAATGTTAATGTGGATGACTTTGCATAATCATGATATTGGCTGCCATTGTCCCTCTGTCTTCCCTGTGACAGATTAGGGTATTATGTCTTGTGGTTCTGTCAGGTTTGGCTATAGTTTTACTAACTGGTTAGACAATGGATTTGTACAGAATTGTTTGAAAAGGGGTGATCTTGCCTCTAGTGAGGGGTTGGACCAGACAGATTTTTATGAGGTACTTACTAGACAGTTCATGAAGCCAATGACCTGACTGCCTTTGAATTCTTAAACATAATAGAAAGAAAATTCTGCATTCAGTAGAGGACAACTCAATATTGGATTTCATTCTGGCAAGCACCAAAAAGTTAACAGCTGATCTGAAAATTAGAATTTGCTTAAGTGGTTGATCTAGTACATGGGTGGACAAACTCTAGCTCATGAATTACACAAGGCTCCTGCACGGTTTAATTATAGCCCTTAAAGGAAGAGATGTATTAATTAAGAGTTCATTTTTCCCCTCTTTGTATGCTTATGCTATTGTTATTTTTTTTATTTTCTTCATCTCTCATTACTTATTCTGAGAAGTCATTTAATAACAAGCTTTTTACTTGAGCCGGATGCTGTGCGCAGATCATTGACTCTGGCCCATGTGAATCTTGAAAGTTTTCTGTTCCAATGCTCTAAGCTGCTTCTGTTCCTCTGAAAGGACTGGCAGAGGAGATCTTGGAGCCCTTGGCAATAATATTTAGGTAGCTGTAGGAGATGGGTGAGGTACCAGAGGACTAGGAAAGCTCCAGTGTAGAGATTCTCTCTAAAAAAGGTTAAAAGAAAGAACTGGAGAACTACAGACCAGATAACCTCTCTTTGATACCTGGGAAGTTAGTGGAGTATATATATGGACATCAACTTGCAAGCATTTGGATGAGGAAAGGCTGGTTATGAGCAGCCAGCATGAATTTATTAAGAACAATCAATGCCAAACAAACACAATCTCCTTCTTCAACAAAATATCTACTTGGTTGGATGAAGGGAAGGCAGTGGACATAGCACATCTGGACTTCAGCAAGGCCTTTGACAAAGTCCCATATGATTTTCTCATGAACAAACTGGAGAAATGTGGGCTGGCTAAAACTGTCCTAAGTTGGACAGACAACTGGCTGGACAGCCACAAGCAAAGGATAATTAAAAATGAATCTGTCAGAAGGATTAGAGCGGAGGCTTACAAGGCTCAGTCCTGGGTCCAGTTCTCTTCAATAGGTTTCTTAATGTTCTGGATGCTGACAAAGAAAGCTTCCTGAGCACATTTTCAGACAACACAAAATCAGGCAAGATTGGACTGGAAAATTCCTTCCTTTATGTCCCTGGACAAGATACTTAGCAGACTTGTTGGAATCTGACAGGGCTCCACCACAAGTGCTTCTGCTGTGGACTCGAACTTGAGACCTCCAAGCTGTTAACTGTGTGCTTTAGTGCCTGCACCACCTGGAATATGGAAGAGACCATTCTTGACCTAGTCCAAAGTAGTGCACATGATTTGATGCAAGGGGTAAGTGTTACTGAGCCACTTTGCAATAGTGACCACAATGTAACTGGGCTTGACATTCACGTAGGAGAAAGCAGACCAAAGGAAAGCCAGCAAGATTTATGGCAGTTACAATGGCAATAAGCAGGGAAAAGGCTAATGAGTAGGGATCTACCTAAGTCATGGTGAGCAAAAGTGATATTCATGGGCTGCTCATGGTGCATGTAGTCTATTTCATGGCCTTTTCATGGTGATCCCACGCCTTATCACTGATTGGCAGAGAGGGCTGTTTGTTGTGTGGCTCTTCCCCTTGCTGCTTATTGGTCAAGAGAGCTGTCTGTCATGTGCCCTCCCCCCCCACCCTCACTGATTGGCAGAGAGGGATGCCCGTGATATGGCCCTGCCCCTTGCTACTAATTGGCAACTTATTTTTAGTAACTTTTTTTTTATTTTGTGGATTTCATGGACAATATCCAATTTCACAATTTCTGCAACAACACACGTTAAGTAGGTCCCTACTAATGAGGAAAATAAACAAGAGCATAAACTCTGGCAAATCAACTATGAAACTGAAATAAGACAAGCTAAGAGAGAATTTAAGGAGAAACTTGCTAAAGACCCAAAAGATAACAATAAAAATGTATTTAAGTAGATTAGATGCCAAAGACCTGGCAGGGAGTCAATTAGGCCTTTGGATGATCCAGGTGTATAAGAGGCACTAACGCATGACAGGGCCATTGCCAAGAAAATAAATGCATTCTTTGCATTTGTCTTCACTGTGGAAGATATTAGGGAAATTCCCTCATCAGATTCACTCCTGTTTAGGGCTGAGTCAGTGGAGCTCACCCAAACTGAGGTTTCAATAGATGAGATCATAGAGGAAATCCATAAACTAAAAAATAGCAAATCACCAGGACCTGATGGCATTCATCTTAGGGTCCTGAATGAGCTCAGATTGGAAATTGCCAAACTCCTAACTGTAGTATAAAACCTATCACTAAAAAGAGCATCAGTACCAGAGGTCTGGAGGGTTGCTAATGTGGCTTCAATATTTCAAAAAAAGGCTCTGGAGGGGACACAGAGAACTACAGGCCAGTGAGTCTAACTTCTATTCCTGTAAACAGGTAGGGACAGTAATACAAGAATAATTATTTGGCATAGGGATGGACATGACATGCTGGGGAGAAATCAACATGCCTTTGTCAAAAGAAATCATGCCTCACCAACCTACTTGAGTTTTTTGAGGGTGTCAATAACCAGGTACATTAGGGTGATCCAGTTGACACAGCGTATTTGGACTTCCAAAAAGCCAAAGGTCCACCATCAGAGACTCTGAACTAAAATAAGGTAGTCACAGGATTACAGGGAATGTCCATTTATGGATTAGAAATTGGCTTAAAAATAGAAAGCAAAGAGTGAGTCGGTTCACAGGATGAAATGAAATAAAGAGCAGGGTCTCCTGGGGATCTGTGTCAGGACCAGGGCTGTTTAACATATTCATAAATGATCTGGAAAAGGGGGTGAGTAGCGAGGTGGCCAAATTTACCTGGCACAAAGAATATGCAGAGTGGTAAAGACCAAGGTGGGTGGTGAAGAATAACAGAAGGATCTGGCAAGTAAATGGCAGATGAAATTTAATGTAGAAAAGGGTAAAGTGATGCACCTAGGCAAAAACAGAACTCTGCCTACACTGTGATGAACTCTACATTGCTGTTACCAGACAGGAAAGACATCCGGGAGTCACTGGACAGTTAATTAAAGACGTCAGCTCAGTGCTCAGCAGAAATCAAAATGGCAAAATAAATAGTAGGAATTACTAAGAAGGGAATGGTAAACAAAATCAAAAGTATCTTAGTGCCCCTTGATAAATTTGTGGTGCATCCACACCTTGAATACTGTGCTTAGGTCTGGTCCCTACACCAGATAGATATAGAAGAACTAGAGAAGGTCAAAACAAGGGCAGCAAGTCCGATGCATGGTACAGAGGGACTTCTATAGGAGCAGAGACTAAAGAGGCCAGGCCTGTTCAGTTTAAAAAGAGACACTTGAGGGCAGACATGAGAAGGGTTTACAAAATACTAAACGGTGAAGAGAAAGTCCATAGGGATTTGTTATTGACTCTCTCACAATACAAGAACTAGGGGTCACAACATGAAACGAGCAGGTAATAAGTTTAAAATTAACAAAAGAAAGTTCTTTTTCACCCAGCGTGGAGTTCAAGTGTGGACTCATTGCCACCAGATGTGGTGGAAGTGGGCAGTTTAGCCAGATGTAAAAAGGGATCAGACACATTCTTGGAGGAAAGGTGCATCAGTAGCTATTGAGCACGGGACTGAGGTGTCTGGCCTGTTAACCAGAACATCCTGGACTTCAAATGCTGGAGGCTGTGGCTGAGAAAGGAGCAGTGGAGAAAACACTGGTCACACCCAGATCATTCTGCCTTGCAGCAACCACTCTCTGCCCCTGTGTGACATAGGATATTGAGCAAGATGGACCCATGGCCCAAGCCAGGAAAGGGCAGTTTTTATGTTCTTACTAGCAAAATGCCCGTCATGAATGATGGTGGGGGTGAGGAGGGGGGACAGAGACGAAGACCAATGCCTGACCCCGCGCCCTCCCTCCGCCTCCCCAGATCCAGCCCAGCTCCCCCCGCCCCCCACTTTGGGTCCTGCCCCATCCCCTCCGTGCTGCTGCTCCATGTCTTGCCTTTCTCCCCCCCACACTATCACTCCAGGTCCTCCCCTGCTCTCCCCTCCTCCCACTGCCACTCTGGGTCATGCTCCATGACCCCTGCCGCTCTGAGTCCAGCCCTGCTCCATCCACACTTCCCCTGTGCCCGCTTCCCACACAGCACCCTGATATTGCCTGCACGCCTCTGCCCACTCCCCTTGCAGCATCCTGTGGCTACATACCATGCCCCCCCGCAGGCACCACGTGCCACCCCGCCATTACATGGCCGCAAGCTGCACCATGCTCCCCACATGGCCGTGCACCCCACCCCACACCCCAGCACTGCTGCCCCCACTGCACCCT